TCCCATGATTTATTTTTTTTAGAAATGAGATGGTAAAGTGACATGCAGCAAGCCAAAATATCAGCTGAAGCATTTGTTTCTTTAAAAATACCTAGTTCTCTCATATACATTCTTAGAAAACAAAAATAGCAAGAAATTGCAACATATTACTTGTTAGAAAATAGAATAGAATAGAATAGAATAGAATAGAATAGAATAGAATAGAATAGAATAGAATAGAATAGAATAGAATAGAATAGAATAGAATTTTTTATTGGCCAAGTGTAATTGGACAAACAAGGAATTTGTCTTGGTGCATATGCTCTCGGAGTACATAAAAGAAAAGATACATTCGTCAAGAATCATAAGTTACAACACTTAATGATAGTCATAGGGAAACAGTCAATGTAAATCTTAAGGATACCAGCAACAAGGTTACAGTCATACAGTCATAAGTGTGAGGAGATGGGTGATAGGAACGATGAGAAGATTAATAATAATGCAGACTTAGTAACTAGTTTGACAGTGTTGAGGGAATTATTTGTTTAGCAGAGTGATGGCATTCGGAAAAAAACTCTTCTTGTGTCTAGTTGTTCTGGTGTGCAGTGCTCTATAGCGTCATTTTGAGGATAGGAATTGAAACAGTTTATGTCTAGGATGTGAGGGGTCTGTAAATATTTTCACAGCCCTCTTTTTGACTCGTGCAGTATACAGGTCCTCAATGGAAGGCAGGTTGGTAGTAATTGGTAGAAACCCAATCGGGTTTCATGCGTGGACACAGCACGGAAACGGCATTGGTCGCCCTGGTGAATGATCTCTGGCGGGCCCGGGATGGGGTTTATTCCTCTATCCTGGTCCTACTTGACCTCTCAGCGGCTTTTGATACCATCGACCATGGTATCCTACTGCGACAACTCGGGGGGCTAGGGGGCACTGTTCTACAGTGGTTCTTCTCCTACCTCTCGGGCCGTACACAGTTTGTTTGGGCGGGGGGTCAGAGATCCTCCCCGAGACCCCTCACCTGTGGGGTGCCTCAGGGGTCAGTTCTCTCCCCCTTGCTCTTTAACATCTATATGAAGCCGCTGGGTGAGATCATTCGTAGTTTTGGAGTGAGTTATCATCACCCACTGAGCTCCGGATGGCCCCCGACCTCCGCTCTTTCTGCAGTGACCTGAAGACATGGCTTTTCCAACAAATTGCCTGATCTGCTGGGAATCTTAGTTTTAACTTCTTGGGGATTTTAATTGGATTATTTTAGTATTAATTTTATTGTTCCTTTGTTTTATCTTTGTGAGCTGCCCCGAGTCCTTCGGGAGAAGGGCGGCATATAAGTATGAATAAACTAAACTAAACTAAACTAATTGTTTTTTTCTACAGTTTTAATTATCCTCTGAAGTCTGTGTCTGTCTTGTTGGGTTGCAGAACCAAACCAGACAGTTATAGAGGTGCAGATGACAGACTCAATAATTCCTCTGTATTCTCACCTGGAAAAAAATATAGTCAGATCTTGGAGGATTAACAAATGGGTGAAGAACATCCTTACCTATTTGTCTACTACTGAATGAGTGGTCAATCTTACACAGAAAGTACCAAGTTTGAAGATACTACTCAGGGCAAAAATACCAATTACCTACTTTATATGAGTTTGATGACACAGTGGATTCTAATAGGAAAGCTGACCAAGGAATGTTGCTAAGGTAGCATTTTCTCCTAATTCTAGATAGGTCGGCTTAGCTGTGATTATGCAGTTAGGAAAAGGTTTGCGTAGCAGAATATTTTAACAGTAATATTCTTCATTCCAGATGGGCTAGTGTAAAAGAGACAATAGCATGATTTTCAGCTTATATTTAAAACTGCAGAAGTTGGAGTCAATGCAGAAGTGGTAGCCAACTAAACTATCTACTTCCTATTAAAGCGTAGCAAAATTGAACGTTTCTTTTCCTTAGAAACAGAAGGCACTTGGATGGAGATTGTAATGGGCCAAGCAAATTCATATAGTGCACATGTACTTTGTCCTCACAGTTAGCAGTACTAATATATTCTTAGGAATATTTTAGGATGGCATATCTTTTCTAAATTTGGTGCACTCTAAATGCATTGCCATTAAAAATCCCAACAGAGCTTGAGGAAAGCTCATTGTAAGAGACATCTAGGCAACAAAAATTTGAATGACCAGTAGAGGGTAGCAAAAAGACACAGCATGTTTAAAAATCCTCCCCCCCCCCACTTTGGATAATATGCATTAGATTTATATTTTGCCTTTTATCCATGGTTTTTAATATGGCATTATACAATTCCCTCCTTGTTTTTTCCTATATAATAACAATCCCATGAGGTAGATTGGTTTGCAGGTGAATGACCATTTCAAAGTTAGCCATCAAACATTTCTGTTTGAAGGTGAATTGTTCCTAGCCCAATACAGAATACAGAATGACAAAGTTGAAAGGGACCTTGGAGGTCTTCTAGTCCAACCCCCTGCCCAAGCAGGAGACCCTATATGTTTCTGAACAAATGGCTGTCCAACATTTTCTCAAAAGCCTCCAGTGTGGAAGCACCCATGTCTGAAGACAAGCCATTCCACGGATTAATTGTTCTTGCTGTCAGAAAATTTCTTCTTAGTTCTAGGTTGCATCTGTCTTTGAGAAGTTTCCATCCATTACTTCTTGTTGTGCCTTCAGGTGCTTTGGATAATAAATTGTTCCCTTCTTTTCTGTGGCAGTCTCTCATATATTAGACAATTACTATTATGTCACTCCTAATCCTTCTCTTCATTAAAACTAGACCTATCCAGTTCCCACAACCATTCATCATGTTTTAGCCTCCTGATCCCTATTCATCTTTGTTGTTCTTCTCTATACTCTTCTGTATAGACTAATACAGTAAATGTTCTCTTAACATTTTTTTATTTTGGCGACCAGAACCTGACAAGTGTGCCGTCACCAGGGCAGTATACAATGGTACTAATACTTCATGTGATCTTGATACTATTCCTCTGTTGATGCAGCCTAGGATTGCATTGGGTTTTTTGGCAGCTGCAACATATTGTTGACTCTTACTTAAGTGATTTTTCAATAGGACTCCTGGATCCGTCTCACAATTGCTGCTGTTAAGCCAGGTACCATTTATTCTATACCTGTGCATTTGGTTTTTCTTGCCTAAATGTAAAACCTTACTTTGTTTGCCACTGAATTGCATTTTGTTGGATAGGGCTTAGTGCTTTAATCACTACCTCATTTTATCCGTTAGAAGCCTTAAATAAGTTAATTATAGATTTTATTTGGTTTGGATCATGTGTCATTTAGAAAAATAGAGTCATATTTATTTTATTACATATATTTGCCGCCCATCTCACTTACACTGAGTAAACATCACAATATTGAATAATTGTCAGTGAGCTGATTTGGGATTATTTTATTAGACTTAATTTATCCAACTATGGATATATACACCTAACCAAGTTTTGATCAAGTTAAGTGCAACTCATAAAAAAGAAACAATACTTTAAGCATATATGTATATTTTGGTACCAAAAGCAAATTAAACAATAGGATTCTGTACATATTTATGTACAATTGTTATATATAACAATCCAGTAATTTGTGTTGCACAATTCATAATTGAAGAAGCCATATAGCAAATCTTATTCTGATGTCATAAGATGTACAAATTCACTGATGAGGTTTACTTTAGGCTTGGAAGTTGAATGTAACAGACCAAGGTGGATTATGATTTAGCATGAGGCGAATATATTTCAGAGGGAGTGTGGTCGCATAGTGATTAAGATGCTGGATTTGATGACAATTTGAGACCCAAGAACTGCATGACAGGTTCTCATTTTTACCCCCAGTTCCTACCAACAGTTCAAAAGCATAAAAATGCAAGTGAATAATTTATCTCTTTTTATTGAGGATTTCAAGAACTGATAGCATGGGACAGGCATTGCGGTCTTTGATTTTTTTAGAACTCACTGTAATTTTCATATATACTTTGTCCTAAAATGGCAACAAAAATCATCCCCCACCCTCCATTTCTAACAATTATAGTAACAGGGGGTTTGGGAGTTGCAATTTGGTCTTTGTTCCATAGGTGCCTAGTCAAATGGATATTACACAAATAACCAATTGACACAATGTATGGATCCTGCTTCAGGTTATTTCATCATCTTGTGCATAAGACTGTTAGAAGAAATATCCTTCTGGGTTCAGCTCCAAGTGGGGAAAAAGACACTGGAAACATGGAGACTGCTTGGAAAGATGGTTTAATGGTGGACAGGATCACATGGCTTGAGTTTCTGATCAGAAAAAGGGGCTGAGATGCTGCGAGTCCCTGGTTTTATGCCCTCTCTGGCTTTGAACTTCCTGGGGCCCATAAAGCGTATCCTGATTGGATGTTAGACTCCCAGGGGGTGGGGATCTTAGCTGGCCTTGCTGGCCATGTACTCTTCCCAGGGGCCATGTGTTGAGTTTCTGTTGCTAGATGGGTCCCATTGTGTTAGTTTCTGTTGCTAGATGGGTCCTATTGTGTTGCAGATGATGGTCCTTTGACAAAGGATTGGGTTTCTGCCTCTGGCCCATTGACAAAAGGGGGGGGGAGGCAGGAAGGTGGGAGCTGCTTTGTCTTTAAAACATGTTTCTCCATTTCTCATCCAGGGAAATACATTCTGCCTTTTTAATATTTCCTAAAATATTTCATTCTTCTAGGAAAGGGGTGGGTGCTAACTTCCTACAAGACATTTTGCTTCCGATGGACATGAACCATTAGCCATATAGGTTTTTATGCCAGAATAAAGTTCAATTAACGTATTGACATATTTTAAGGCGCCACAAAACTATCTATGCAACAGGCATCTCCCTAAAACAACGAAAAGAGTTGGTTTTGTTTTGTTTTTTATCACAACGAGGGCTAATGTCCGGAAGCAAGACCCACCGAAGACCCATTTCTGGCGGAAGAGAAACAAGCCAAGGTCTCAGTTGCATCAGTGCTTTCCTTGCGTGGCAGCCAGGAGTTCGCAAAAGGCAGGGAGGTGAAAAAGCCAAGCTCGACCTCGCGCATTAAACCCACTTTCTCAGCCTGCCACCCAAGCGACCCTCCCTGCCTGCTGAGGCTTCGGGAATATCCCTCACCCACCATTTCGCCCCGCACCCGACTGAGGGCAAAACTAAAGCAGGAAGAAGCTGCAACAGTGGCTCCAACCGCGCCTGCTCGCTGGCCTCGAGCATGCTCAGCGAGCGCCAGCGATGCCTTTTGCAGCAGCTGAGGCCGGAGCCCACGCGCCGTTTTCGGCTTCTCTGGGAGGCTGAGCTGTCTTGAAAGGCCTGAAGAAGGCCAGCTTAAGGCGGTGAGCGGCGACGGGACGGGATTCCCGAGCCGGGGATCGGGATGGGTCCGCGGTCATCGAGGCAGGCGGATTAAGCGAGGGGCAGGGGGTGCTCGGAAACGCGGGCGGTGGAGCAGCCTTCTCCGGATTCAGGGTCGGCAAGGTGTGGGGACTACAGCTCCCACGATTCCCTGCAAAATGTTGCTGGCTGAGGATTGTGGGAGTTGTAGGCCGAGGGCGCCGGGTTGGAGGAGCACGGATCCCATCTGGGGTGTTCCTGTTAAGGGGGACCATAAGAAGCCGCTCTGCTGGCTCCCACAGCTGGAAGGACTATCGCTCCAGCGCTGCGTGGTTTGTGATTGCAAACAGGCTGAAATCTGGAGTTAGTTGCTTCAACTTTACCTTTCCCCCCCCCTTCTTGTCTTTTTCTTACTCCTTTTCCTTCCGTTTTTCAAGGAGTTTCGATGATGGTGCTTTTGCTTTTGTGCTTGGTTGTGCCAGGAGGTTAGGCCTCGAAAGGATTTGAATCGGAAGCTTCTTTGAGACCGGAGTAACGAGGGCAGAGCTTTGCAAGTTTGCAACGTGTGGCATCTGGAGATACTCTTTATTTTCCGGCGTTAGCTTAGATGGGTTCTTTCTTGGAACGTCTTAGGTAGTTAAGAGTGTAGTTATAGAGCGCAATTGTTGTGCTGTTGGATTATTCATTTGTATTCGTTTCCTTCCTTCATATTTATACCTGCTATCTTGTTCATAATCATAAGTTTATTTGTCAAGTGTACAGGTAAAAGTATAAACATAATTTGAATACATGAAAAGAGTAAGTAAAAAGGAATATTAGGACAGGGACAGTAGGCATGCTGGTGCACTTATGCATACCCCTTACAGACCACTTAGGAATGGGGTCAGGTCAGTGGTGGGATTCAGCCAGTTCGCACCACTTCGGGAGAACCAGTTGTTAACTTTCTGAACAGTTTGGCAAACTGGTTGTTGAAAGAAATCATTAGGGCAGAGAACCAGTTGTTAAATTACTTGAATCCCACCACTGGGTGAGGTCAACAGTAGACAGTTTAAGGTTAAAGTTTTGGGGGTTTGAGGAAGAAACTACAGAGTCAGGTAGTGCATTCCAGGCATTGACCACATGTTTGACAAACTAATAAAATAAAATAAATTTATTTACTAGCACAAAGTGCATTTTGTAATTGAGCATGTTGGTTGTTCTTTTCAGGCAGTGTAAATCATATGACTATTGAGTCATACATAGTCTGGCCTGGTCAGGTTTACTGGCCATTTCAAAAGTTAAGAGTTTAACAAAACACATCTAGAGGTCAGTGTATTGCAGGGGGTTGGTTGATAACTTTGGCTGTAAAAGGCTCCTTTGATTTCAAACCCAAAATTGAGCCTGGACACCAATTGGATTTAAGATTATTTTATCAATTGGACACTTTTTTCTCTCAAGAACCACAAAAACATTCACCTCTCCCCTTTTTCTATATATTATGGGTTAAAAATTCTTAGTAAGCTAACTAAATCTCCTGATTTTATTCATTATTCTCTTAGGTAATTATTAGACATTGTAGTATAGTTATAGTATAATTTAAAAATATTCAATCCATGGTTTGGGATTGGTATGTTTGGTGCTTCCCAGTATTTTGCAGAAAGGAATATCATATAACAAGTTAATAAGGTTTGTTTAGTTCCCTCAATATATAACAGAAAGAGGATGAAACTTCTTGCCCATCTGTACAGTTCTGACAAACCATGTATAATAACCTAAATTTAATACTGCTAGACATTTTATTAAGTTTCATTAATTAGGAAGAAAACCTGAATTTATATATGATATATTCCCCAGAATGATAGTTAGCAAAAAAAAAATTGTTATGCAAGATTATTTTTTTTAATAAGAACTAGGTTCAGTGTGGAAAGCTAAGGAGAAAATTAAATCATATAAATTATATGTAATTTTTGCCCAGAACATGGCCTGATTATGGTTTTGAATGTTTTTATTCTACTTCTATTTGCAAATCTGTGTATTTTGTGATTTTCTCCAGGTCTTTCTCTTTTGTTGGTGACTCTGGGCTTTCTCCTCTGAACCAATTCTTGAATTTGCAATTAAATGTTTTGCATGGTTTAGCTAACTTGACTCATCTTAGCTTGCACAGTTGTCCAGTAAGAGCCATGACGGCACAGTGGTTAGAATGCAGTATTGCAGGCTAATTCTGCTGACTGCCAAGTGTTTGATCTTCACCAGCTCAAGGCTGAGTCAGCTTTCCATCCTTCCGAGGTCGGTAAAATGAGGATCCAAATTGTTGGGGGCAATATGCTGATTCTGTAAACAGCTTAGAGACACTTGTAAAGCGCTGTGAAGCTGTATATGAATCTAAGTGCTATTGCTATATTAGGGTATTAGTGATGTAAAAAAGCAGCACAATACATATGATTCTTGAGAGCACTGCAAAACAATGGATAGCTTTTTTCTGGATAAAGCCTCTATTCCAGTGCAGGAAATTTCATTAGAATTGTCCTGGTTCTGGACATACTGTGTGTTATTATAATTAGAATACATACAAGTATACTTAACAAATATATTAAAAACTACATAATTTTTCTTGCTGACAAATCCAGACATTTAAATATGAGTTGGAGAGAAATTCTTCCAATAAATTCAAAATGGTAATTTCAGTACCTTTGGTATTCAGATCACAAGCATATTTCAGTTGGATTCACATGACATGAACCATAATGTGATTTATTTGATTTTGCTTAGCATATTGTATAATCCAGTCAGTTTTGGTTTATCTGGCAATACATTGTTAAGCAAATGACATTTTATTGTATGATGTAGTCAAATCCCTTCTATTTTGTTAGACAATTTATTTTGATTCTATGTTCACTTTTTGTCCCAGTGGCTCATAGTTTTAGGAAGAAGAGTAGCTTTTCCTAATTTAGAGACTGTAGTAGTTATTGGCTGCTGACGAGTGTAATATCACCATTTGGGGACCAGTGGCCAGGAATGGCCATTGTAAATTTAACAGTTCTACACCTTTGCATCTGAGCATTTTTATGGATTCATTAATAAAAATTCAGAAGAAGAGGCATGTATTCTTGATGGAAAATATGGGGCAGACTAATCTTGATAAATGTTTTTTCCAGGAAGTGAAAAATGCCGAAGAAGAAGACAGGTGCACGGAAGAAAGCTGAAAGTCGGAAGGAACGGGAAAAACAAATTAGAGCTTCAAGGGCTAATATTGATTTGGCCAAACATCCCTGCAATGCTTCAATGGTAATATTTAGTTTTTAAAGCTTTTTCAGTGTCAGATGTCTGATAAAATAATAGAATGCTAAAAGTGATCTCCTTCCTTTGTCCTGCACAGAAGTATGGTTGGGTCAAATATTTTCAAATTTTCTTGCACTAAGGAGAATGCATGTGTAATCTTATAAAACTCACTAATGATAACAGATAAGAAAAGTACATCTAAAAACTATTACAGTAGACAAGGAACATCTCTTTACCTTCTCTTGAAAGGTTTCTGGTATATAGAGGATTTAAGGGGGGGAAAGATGAGGGATCCAGGCTTCATTTCCCTGAATTAAAAAGAAATATGTATAAAGATGGCCAAACTCAAACCTGCCTGAATCCATATTCCAGAACTGATTTTTGAATTATTTGATTTTATACAGATATAGTAGGAATTACTTAGAAGATACTTGATAAGGTCAGCCAATATCCTGATGGGTCATTTTCAGTTGCCATCCCTTGGACAGATTTCCAGCCCTTTATTTTCATTTTTTTTTTCATTTTATTAGATTTCTATACCGCCCTACTCCCGAAGGACTCAGGGCGGTGCACAGCCAAACAATAAAAACACATACAATACAAAATTTAAAAAATAGAATAAAATCAAATTAAATAATTTTGGCCCCGACAAATTTAAAACCCCAAACTTTTAAAACCAATTTAAAATTGAATATATAAATACTAAATGATATTTAAAATTTTAAAAATCTTTATAAAAGAGGGGGAAAATTAGGCCAGGAGAGAAGCTTGGAAAGTATTCTGTCCTCTAGAGCTGCATTTAGTCCTCTAAAAGTTTAATTGTAAACATACAATTGTTGGCTGTGGTATCTACTTCATATTGTGTGGGTGTGGGTGAAAGGGGATGAGCAGCCCTTCTTATCTAAAATGGGAGAGGCAGAAATTGCCTAGATTATTCCAAAATGTTACTAGCAATAAAAAAAAAGGTTGAACTCCCAAATTATGAAATTCTTTGCTGGAAATGCTTCAGGAAAACCTTGTCTCCTTTGCACATGCAGAATGTGTGTTCTTGTAGCAAAATTGACCTTTGTAATGTGATTTTTGAATTACAGGGACCTTAAAGATCATCTGCTTTTAATGACCCCATAATCCCTTGCAGGGTGGAGTCTGGGCAACTGAATGGAGCTGAGTGTTTACTGGCCAGATGCCCTTCCTGCCGCCAATGCAGAGTTTTGTTCAGCAGATATATTCTCATTATGCCCAGAGAGAGAAATATCTGCCTCTACCTAGGATCGAGCTCACAGCCTCCTGATTGTGAGGCGAGAGCTCCACCTCTAGGCCATTGCACCACTCTACTGGGACCTTAAAGATGATCAGTAGAAATGAAACAACTAAAACATATTCAATACCAAGAAGTTAGTACAGGTCCAGTTCAAAGTAATGGATGATATAGAAAGATCAAAGATAATAGATACCGGTAATTTGGTTCTTTTTATGATTGCCTCTCCAAAGTATGATGTACGGTGCATTACAAATTGCCTTTAATTTGATGAGGAAGCATTGCTGGGAAGCAACTATTTGAGTTGCGAATCAGTTTCATAATAGATTTAGGAGGATTAAAGGAGACAACGTTGGTATGCAGTTAAAAAGTAATCCTTGCTCTAAAAAGATGTATTTTATGTTTTATGTTTTTAAAAAATAAATTGCCTTTAGTTTGCCAAGCCTAAAAATATGGATATAAAAACCCTGTTTCTTTCTTTTACAGGAATGTGACAAATGTCAAAGGTAAATATTCCTTTTCAGGATTTTACATACAATTTTAAATACATTTGTTTAGCTATTTGTTTCATCTTGTTTTGTTTATTTTAACAGGCGGCAAAAAAATAGAGCTTTTTGCTACTTTTGCAACTCTACTCAAAAATTACCCATTTGTGCACAGTGTGGTAAGTGTGCCTGGTTTAACATTTTGATTACTGGATTGCAACAATAGATTTCTGCTTAGGGTTAGTTTATTTTTTTTCTGATTTCATGTTTCAGAGGTGCTCAGGCTTTCATTCTTTTGCTTCTTTAAGTATAGTGGTTTTAGGTATAATTATTTAAGTATTGTGATATGAGATACTTGAGTTAAGATGAAGTGAATTCCAGTGTCCAGCAGTAGCTTGGAGGTATATGTGCATACAGGGCAAGACCACATGTTGTTTTCCCATTGCATCATATGGATATTCTGAGAAGTTTTCCTCTGTGCAATAAACACCTTCAGCAGCCTGCTATGCAAAGGAGTGCCAAGAATGCAGAAGCAGTGATGTTTGGGGAAAGTGCAGAAGCATCCATGGCAGTAAAAACACGAAGTTTCCAGCTAATCCAGTTACACAGTTCTTGAGCACAATTGTCTTATTAAAAGAAATATAGAAATTATCTAAACCAGAAAGGGAACTTTTAATAAAGATGGTGGAATATGATTTGGAATGGAAAAAGGATTGTGCCATTTTCTGGCTGTTCCTTTTTTGCTCTAAAGATTTTCCTCCTGGCTTTCCTTTATTTTCCTCCTTTTCCTTTTTATTTTGTATACATTTATTCAGTTTCTATGGTCTCCCATCTCAAACAAGCGACTCCAGGAGATAAACAATTATAAGAATCAATTAAAACAAACCACAATAAATACCGTATTTTTCAGAGTATAAGACTCACCGGAGTATAAGACGCACCTACCTTTTTTGGTGAGGAAAAGAAGAAAAATAAATTTCCCTCTGCCTCTGCCTCTGAGCAATTTTGCCTCCTTACAGCAAACAGCCTGCTTTACTTTCATTTTTGTTTTCAGCATAGCTTGATTAGCACAAGGGGGAAAAAAATCTGCTCCAGCAATTTACCTCTTCACAGCAAGCAGCAGAGCTTTGTGCAAAACAGCTGATAGCAAATCAGCTGAGAGTCGGGAAGCCAATCCAATCAGCTGAGTCTCCGGAGAAGGGTGGCATATAAATCAAATTTAAAAAAAAAAACAAACCTTGTGCTAATTAGGCTGTCCTGAAGCTGAAAGGAGCTGTTTTTTCTTGCTGTTTGCTTGCAAGGAGGTAACTGCCGTGAGGCAGAGGCCAGTGGGTGGGTGGGGCTACATTCGGTGTATAAGACGCACCTAAATTTTCACCCCCTTATAGGGGGGGAAAAAGGTGTGTCATATACTCCAAAAATACAGTATATATATATATATATATATATACAGCGGCTGTGAACAATTATCCATAAATGTTGATATAACCAGGAAATTGGGCCTTTGACACATTTGAACCTCCAGGCCCAGACACATAATCAGGTCAAAAAATAAATATGTATCTCAGAAGGGCTTTCTCCCTTGTGAAATGTGGAGTTGTACATTTATGGTGCACCCTTCTTTCTTCCTTTGTATGCCATTATTGAATATTTCTTAGTGAAAAAGATCAACCCATCAGGAGAATGTATTGATAACAACTTTCTAGCTCCCATCTTCTGCAATGGTCACTACAAGTCACCACTTCTAGTTATAGTCACTACACTACTTGTCCGCTTTAGGCATGAAAGGGCGACTTTGGACCAGCACTCTATCTCAGCCCAACTCACCACATGGGCTTTTAGTTGTGGGGAAAATAGGAGAAGGAAGGAGTATTATGTGTGTTTGCCATCCAGGTCATGGTTGTCCCAAAGGTCAAGAGTCAACTGGAATTTATGGTTTTTCTTTGAAGACATTCCGCTTCTCATCCAAGAAGCTCCTTCAGCTCTGACTGGATGGTAGGTGAAGAAGCTCCTTGGATGAGAAGCGAAACGTCTTCAAAGAAAACCCAGAAAGTCCAGTTGACTCTTGAAAAAGCACCTTTGGGTCCCAGATTGATTCCTCTTGTGGCTTATACAGCCCACATTTTTAAAACAAAACAAAAAAAAAAGGAATCTTTCTCAAAATTATTAATTTGATATGTAAACAAAGAACTAAAAGTTCATAGAATTAATTGAAATGTGTTAGTTGAATGACATTATTAATCCTTAACTTCTTAAACAATATTTTTATGTCCTTTGTAATAGGAAAGACAAAATGTATGATGAAATCCTCAGACTGTGTCATAAAACATGCTGGAGTGTATAGCACTGGGCTTGCAATGGTGGTATGTATCTGAAGTCAATTACATGGCTAAGATTTACAGTAGGTTAAGTAATTATTGCAGAAAGGACTTGTTTGGCAGCATTGGTGTCTTCTGGGTAGCAAAATGTAGGATTGGAATATTTGAATGGGTATTTGTGCATGCCTAAATCTCAATGAAATCAATTCAGCTGCATTTAGAATGGACTGGATTGTGTCCACCTTATGAAAATATTAATGTACAGGTAGTCCTCGACTGTTTAGTCACAGTTCGAAGTTACAACAGCACTGAAAAAACTCATTTATAGTTGCACTTATGACCATTGCAGCTTCCTCATGGTCACGTGATCAGAATTCAAAAGCTTGGCAAGTGACTCATATTTATGACAGTTGCAGTGTCCAAGAGCCATGTGGTCACCTTTTACGATCTTCTGATTGGGGAAGCCAGATTAACTCAACAACCGTGTTACTAATTTAACAACTGCAGTGATTCGCTTAACAACTGGGCAAAGAAAGGTCGTAAAATGTGGCAAACCTCACTGAACAACAGAAATTTTGAGCTCAGTGGTGGTTGTAAGTCGAGAACTACCCGTATTTGCTTTGAGAGAGTGAACAAGCATGGAATCTTAAAATGGAAATGAAACAAAATTAGATAAATGGGCTTCTGCATATTCCCTTCCCTTGGGTAAGATCTTGGCATTTAGGCCCGGAAAGTGATCAATGAAAACTGGCCTGATATTAAGTTGTTTCTTCCCATTTTTTTACACATACTGGTTAGGCAGGAAGTATAGGAGGATTGATCTATCCAGGGAAAGTTTCCAGGCGCTCTTGGTGTGCTTTGGCACTTTCATTTGGCCTAACAGTATGTTCCATATCTAGTGGAACACCTTCTTTGGTACTCTGGTTTCTTTTCAGATCCTATGAATCTTTCACCTTTTATCTTGTTTTATGACTTTGTGTCAAGAATGGGAAGTAGAGTTGATACTAAATTAAAGGTGCCAGTAAAGATTGAGAATTGAGAAAGCATAAGAACAAGGAGTATATTGGTGGGGATTTACTGTCCCTGGAAATGCATGTGTAGTCAAGGAAAATGTCTTTCATTAGCAGTCAGACATAGCTGATAATAAATGTTACCTCTTTTTTCATAGGGGGCCATATGTGATTTTTGTGAAGCTTGGGTTTGCCATGGCAGAAAATGTTTGAGCACCCATGCCTGCATCTGTCCTCTGACTGATGCAGAATGCATTGAATGTGAGAGAGGTGTCTGGGATCATGGTAAGTTATTTCTTGGTGAGAAGGAACCAAATTAATCTAAATTATCTGTCCTGTATTCTTGCAATTTCTCCATCTGTTCCTTATGAATGTATGTCTATATGTGGGCTATCACGCACACACACAACGGAAGCTTTAGGATAATGTTCTGTGGCAAAGTTGATTGCAGTCCATGAAATTTATGCAATGATGTTTTAAATCTTTCAGGTTTTCCACAAGACTTTTTACTGTGACTACTAATTCTCTTATGCAGGTAGTCCTCGACTTATAACCACAATTGAGCCCCAAATCTCTGTTGCTAAGCAAGACAGTTATTAACTGAGTTTTGCTTCACTTTACAACCTTTCTTGCCGCCACTGTTAAATTAATAACACGGTTGTTAAGTAAATCTGGTTTCCCCATTGACTTTGCTTCTCAGAAGATTGTAAAAGGTGGTCACATGACCCTGAGACACCGCAACCTTCATAAGTATGAGTCATTTGCCAGTTTTGTGAATTTTGATATTGTGACCATGGGGATGCTGCAATGATCGTAAGTGTGACAGGCAGTTTTTTCAGTGCTGTTGTAACTTCGACCTGTCACTAAATGAACTGTTGTAAGTTAAGGACTTACCTCTATGTTAATATTTTCATACAGTGGACACAATCCATTCTAAATTTTTCTGAATTGGGATTCAGATAGTCTACTTGGTGTCATGACCAATAACTAATGCTAGGGATACTAAAGGTTTTCAAAGGAAAGGTGAGTTAACAGTTTTTTATTTGGACTTGTTTGTGGAATACAGTAAAATACATGGGAAAATCCCATTGTCAATTAAAATGAATCTAGGGTTAGGGTTAGGATTACATCTACTTGGAGTCATGGCCATAAATGAATGCTAGGAGAGATTCCTAGAAGTTTTCGAAGAAAAGAGAAATTGACAGCTTTTCATTCAGAGCTGTTTGTGAACCATAGTAAAATATTTTGGCCATCACTCCAAATAGACCTAATCCTAACCCTAACCCTAGATTTATTTAGTGACTTTGAATAGTCACTAAATGAATGGTTGTAAATTGAGGACTATCTGTATTTTTATCTATATTTAAAGAAAATTAAAAGTTTATATTTTTTAGATAGGGCCTGGTGGCTCAGCAGACTAAAAGCATTGTGATTAACACCAGCTATCTGCAATTACTGTAAATTCGAATCTCACCAGGCTCAAGGTTGACTTAGCCTTCCATTCTTTCTAAGGTAGGTAAATTGAGGACCCAGTTTGTGGGGGCAATAAGCTGACTTTGTATAAATATACAAAGGCTATTGCTTAACGCATTGTAAGCCGCCCTGAGTCTCCGGAGAAGGGCGGCATATAAATCAAATTTTAAAAAAATTTAAAAATTTAAATTTAAAAATTAAAAAAAAAAAAAGATATGTAAGAAAAGGAGGATGTAATTTTACAGCTAGCTGGTAAAACACGTACATAGTGTGACGTAACATACATGATAAATAAACTATAAAGTCAGGTTTTTTTGTATTTTCTTTGTGGGTAAATTCAGATTTTCTTTGTCTTCAGTTTTCAGTCTGTGGTAGGATATGCTGCAATTAGTTTTGATCAATCTGCATTCTTTTCACTGAATCCTACAGGTGGCAGGATATTTAGCTGCTCCTTTTGCCATAATTTCCTTTGTGAGGATGATCAGTTTGAGCATCAAGCCAGCTGCCAGGTTCTGGAAGCTGAAACCTTTAAATGTAAGTTTAATGACTCTATTATCAAATTAAGCATGCTTTTAACTGTTTCTGTGATTTAGTTCAAGCCCACAAGGTAGTTCAATAATGAATTTCAAATTGATAATTTACAAAGTAGTATGAAGTGGGAGATTATTGGCCCTGTTACTTTCATGACTGAATAATAGAGTTGGAAGGGAGCTTGGATATTTTCTAATCCAAGCCCCTGCTCAAGCAAGAAATGCCATAGCATTTCAGGTAAAAGGCTGTCCAGTCTCTTCTTAAAAATTGGTAGTGTTGGAGTACTCACAACGTCTGGAGGCAAGTTGTTCTACTGATTAATGGTTCTCACTGTCAGGAAATTTCTCCTTAGTTCTAGGTTGGTTCTCTCCTTGATTAGTTTCCATCCATTGCTTCTTGTCCTCCCCTCAGGTGCTTTGGAGGATAGATTGACCCGGTTTCTAATATATAATGCTTGCTATATTTGAAACAAACTTGTATGCACAATACCCAAGTTTAAGGAAGTGGTGTTTAAAGAAAGCCAGGAAAATGACTGAAGCTTAAACTAGCTTCTGTTTGTAGATTCTGGTCTTGGAAGAGCCTTTTTATAAAGGCTGCAGTTCCTGTATTGGAAGCCAGGCACAAAAAAACATTCCCACTTCATGTGGATCTAATAAAAGACCGTGTTAGGCATAAAATGCTTTATCCAGTTTTGGCTTAGCAAATTATGTAAACCTGCTGTGGTTTGCAAACCAGGGTTTATGAATTCTGTGTGGTCTAAGTTCAACCTTGTTTAAAAAGTGAGTAGTTTGCTATACTACTCCATTGTTTTAAAACTATAGAAAATTGTTTTTTTTTCTGTTTTTAGTTTCTGTTGCTTTATTGAGCTCTTGTTAAATCTGTTTTGTTCATGCCGCACTTATTTTTGTTCATATATTATTGTGTATTATAGATGTTTAGTCACTGATTAACACTGGGAGTCTGTAAGGATTACAGAAGTGTGCAGAACTAAGCAATCAATGCCATTACAACATTACGTTAAGGTGCCAGTGTACTGTCACTGGGAACTGAATATAGGATGTAACATCCTGAATCAGAATGCATTCAAGGATGTACTACAATTAATTTTCCTATACGTCAGTACATGCAAGACTAGTACAGCTTATGATTGGTACTCTATGTGGGCACTCCTTACCCAAGCACCAAGTTTATGATCATTCCTTTTATACATCTCATCCAAAACTACCTGAATTTTTCTATCACCATCACATCTCTTATCGTTTAATCCAGTGCTGCTTTTTTTGTCCTTGCATGAACAGTGTGTCCAGAAATTGGACATGAGGAAGGGGCAATGCAGTGTTCATGCTTTGTTGGGCAGTTCCTCTCATGAGATGCCTTTGGGTGATGATTGGAGTCTTTGGTCTTAGATCAGGACTCCTGCAATTTGCTACTGAAATGAAACTGGTCTTGGTGCCTCATTAAAATCCCCATTTTCTCTCATCTCTTAAGTGTTCAGTTCCATTGTACTTTGCTAAGGGAGAGCCTAAGGTTGTCCATTGAAGTAAAGAGTCGACCTTGATTTAAAAGACAAAAAAGAAAAAGAGGGCAAAGCAACAAGAACTCTCCTCATTCAGCCATGCCTTTTATTTTGCCTATTAGGTGTTTCCTGCAATCGACTGGGGCAGCATTCATGTCTCCGCTGTAAGGTACAAGCAAAAACATTTCCAAGTAAATGTATCGCATTTCGTATTCACATGCTTTCAACCTGCTGGCAGCTCTCATCATTCATTTTCCATAATACATTAAAATGCTTTGTGGTGGGTTTTTTTTTAATGGTCTGTGTCCTGTTTCTATTATACTTTGATTAACTTTCATGCTGTGATTTCAATGTGATGCTGAAACTTTCCCTCCAGTCACCATAAAACGCCAGCACCTGCCCTGGATTATTGTTCAGGTTACCATCTGCTGGTTTTCTTTCATTCAAAGCATTGTAGGTTTTCATATCAACCTGAATATTTCTGCACCAATTGCTTATAACTGGTATTGCTAAAATCATACCTCATTATGCTGCATCTCCTTCATTTTTTATACCTACTACCTTTCAGGGAATTCTGGTAAATGAATTATTTCATTGTCTTCAGGCATCCATACTGTTCTGGATTCTCCAGCTATTTAAAAGTGATAGGATTTCCTGCAGGGTAGTTGACTTTGTTTGTAGTCTCAGCATTTGTTAATAGTGGCAGAATGAATGTACAGGACATCACTATTTAGATATGTGCAGTTATTTGATGGGAGAACGGTATCACTTGCTTCTATTCTGTGTTTCTAGTGTTACAGAATGTCATTATTTTACTGATTCAAAAGATCAATTGTTGCAAGTGATAGTGCAGTCCTATACTTTGTTATAATTAATCCTCAACTTACAACTGTAATTGAGTCTGAAATTATGGTTATAAATCATAGTGATCATAAGTTGCAACACGTGACCAGACCCAATTTTTTAACATTTTTTGCGGTATTCGTTAAGTGAATGCCTTGGTTGTTAAGTGATTTTCCCCAAATGGGTGTTTTTGCTGAAACCAGAAATGAACACTGGGAATTGTCCAAAAACATTGCAAATTGCAGTCACATGACCATGGGGCAATACAAACAGCCATAAAGGTGAGCTGGTTGATAGACACCCAAAATCGCATGATCATAGGAAGAGTAAGGCCATCATAACTTAAAACGGTCATTAAGCAACTAGTAATAAGTCAAAAACTACTTATATCCTATCTTTACCTCCGATTGGGGTGACACTCTGGAGTCAGAGTTGGTTCACAATCTGAGGATTCTTCTGGACTCTGCCTTCTGCTTGAAGAGCAGTAATAGCCATGGCCAAGAGACCCTTTGCATAAATAGAACTTGTACACTAATTATGTCCTTTCCTAGTTTGGATGGCACTGTTCATGGTCTTTCCTTGTCTTTGTCATCTTCCAATTAGACCAGAGGTCTTCAAACTTGGCAGCTTTAAGACTTGTGGACTTCAACTCCCAGAATTCTGGGAGCATAGCTGGCTGGAGTTGAAGTCCACAAGTCTTAAAGCTGCCAAGCTTGGGGACCCCTGAATTAGACTATTGTAATGTGCTCTATATGGGGGCTGCCCTTAAAGAGCATTCAGAAGTTTCAGCTAGTTCATGATGAAACAGCGTGGGCTGTATTAGGCCGATCATGGTATATCTCTGTAGCACCACTGTAACTCCCACAAGGTTCCCAGATGTTAGTTATTACCTTTAAAGCCTACACGGTATGTGGCAACTTATTTGCAACATTGCCTATCCACAATTGTTTCTACTTGTCTCATTAAATCCAGCAGAGTTGGCAAGTCCTCTCAGTAAAAGAGTATTACCTGATGGGGTCTTGGAAGCATGTCTTCTTTGTCGTGGTGCTTACCTTATGGGACAGCCTCCCTACACAGATAATGATGGCCCTGACCTTGTGACCTTTAGGGGAAAAAATAAAGACTTGAGGGATATTAATGCAGCTAGCATTAATGGGTAGTTATTTATGCATGTTAGATTTATTGGGAGCTCAGAGCTGCTTTTCAATAAGTTTTTAATAATGGTGGGGTTTTGTTTTTACTTTTGTTGGTCACCCAAACACTCATTTTTACTGATATATAAATTATACCTACAGGCATGCTTCTGTGATGATCATACACGCAGCAAGGTTTTCAAACATGAAAAGGGAAGAGAGCCTCCGTGTCCAAAATGTGGGCATGAAACACAACAAACCAAGGACCTAAGCATGTCAAGTAAGTTTGCCTTCCAAGATTGGTACTTTTCATACCCAGTAGAATGGAAGTAATGGTCTACTTAAGATTTGGCTGAGATAACAGAGTGTGTAGCATTGTATTGTCAACTGATTAAGAATGCTTATTCTGAATATTTTTTGCCTTTAGTGGAAGATTATGTCACACTCTTACAAACTCATAATCTGTTGCAATACAAGTAGCCCTGGTTTAATGACCCTTCAGTGACTGTTCAAACTTACGAGTGTACTGAATTAGTGATACTTACAACCAGTTCTCATACTTATGACCATCCCAGCAATCCTGCAATCACATGATCATGATTTGCAATCTTCCCTGCAGGCTTCCAACAAACAAACATAATCGGGAAGCCGACCAAAAGTTGCAAGTTGTGGTATGCGAGATCCTTGGTTATTGATGACTGCTGGAATTGTTCCTAAGTGGCACATTCACATGGCCTTTTGATTTAGGATTACATCAATTACTGAGGGAATTTGCAAGCTCAATTAGCTTCATTAAGCAAGGACAACCAAGGACATCGGTTCTTTAATTGATTTCTTCTAAATTTTTGGTGCATCCATGATGCCCCATAGAAAACGCAAGATAATTTTTCATGCTTTTCTGTGGAATACCCAATATCTATAGCACTTTCCTTGATACATAGATAAGCAGAATATAATGGAAACTTCTGTACCTTTCTCCATTTCTTTTTCCAGCTCGCTCTCTGAGATTTGGCCGTCAGACAGGAGGCGAAGAAGCTGATGGGGCTTCTGGTTATGATGCCTATTGGAAGAATCTTTCATCTGGCAGAGGTGTTGATACTGGAGATCATGATGAAGAATATGATGATTACGAGGCAGAGGATGATGAAGATGATGATAATGAGGAAGGAGGGAGAGATTCGGAATCAGAGGCAACTGATATGTTCAGCAACCTGAATTTAGGAAGGACCTATGCTAGTGGCTATGCACACTATGAAGAGTCTGCTGAATAAAGCTATTGTTCTTAGCACACTTAGCAAGAACTAAATCCCCTTGAACCTAGTAGTACTTACCTTTGGGGTAAGATCTGTGCTTAGGTCTAGTTCTAGGCCTTGCTTGGAAAGGAATAAACAGTGAGAAGATCTCTGTATGTGCTTAGTGAAATTTATGTGTAGCATTGGTATAACAGAGGGAGGCATTTGGATAGGAAAGCTTATTAGGCAATAAAGGTATGGAGCAGTTGAATGAGGCCAAGGAAGGGTTTGGATGGTCCAATGGAGCATCCTGTGTAGGTATTTACATGACATTAGGGGACCTCATATTCTTTCTGCCCATTCAGGACAAAAGTGTGAGGAAATCGAGGCAATATTTGCTTCCATGCAGTCATCAAATGTGAAGTTCTTGAGTAATTCTGGTGGTTGGTTTTGACATCATGCTCCATAAACTAAGAAAATCAGTGGCAATGGGCATCTACAGTTTTTCTGTATCAAAAGTTATTTCCTGTCACGTGCAAATGATTTTTTTTTCATAAATATTGATCCAGGTTTTTGCAATGGGGAAATGCTTGCTGCAAGCTATTATAGTTGAATATATAAATTGAAATTAAATTTAGTTTGGTGGTTGTGTCAGCAAGGCTGATCAATACATTTCCTTGCGATTTACTTCTGTAACATTATCAGTTCTTGCCATTTTGACATGCTATACATTAATTGGAAATTTGCAGCCACCTGCAATGTGATCTAAATAAATTTTTGATTTTCTATTTATCGCCATAAAACTGACACTGCCTCTGTCAATCATATTCACTTTCTGTATTTTTTATACTCTGCTGCAAGAGGGCAGTGAATCCGTGGATATAAGATGGGAGCTCTCAAATCAGTAAAAGAGTGAAAAATGAAATAGTGGGACAGAACCTAAATATATATTTAGTATGGATAAATTGGCCTTTCCAGCCTGGTAACGGGGGAGATAGATTAAATTACAGTTCTTGCCATTTTCATCCTATGTGATGGAAAATGAAATACAATATGTCTAGAACCGGGATGGCGAACCTATGGCACGTGTGCCACAGGTGGCACGCTTAGCCATATCAGTGCGCCTCTGGAGAGCCTGGGGGTGGGGTGGGGAAACTTCCGGTCTCTTCAGAAGGCAGAGAGGCTCAAGGCAGCGGAGATGGATTTGTGGCAGGATGTCCCACCGGACGTTGTCAAACGGGCCATTTTCAGCCTCTGGAGGACCTCCGGGGGGGGGTGAGGCTGTTTTCGCCCTACCCAGACTCCTACAGAGAGGCCCTGGAGCCAGGTGAGAAACAAAACCGGACCTACCTGGCCATCGCATGCCAGGGAGCAGGGGCACACCCACACGCACAGGGGCGGGGCTCATAGAATTATGTGTGTGGACACGTGCGCGTGACCCCCCGACGCCCCCTCCTGGCACGCGATGGCAAAAAGGTTAGCCATCACTGGTCTAGAAAGTTCAAAATTGTGAAGAACTGTCCTATGTTACACCCATTGCTATCTGTGCATCCAATTTCACATGTATGCGGAGTCTGTCAAAAGAGTCTTCATAGATGTGCTATGTGCACAGTGGAGATATATATCATTGTCATTGCTATTTGAAGAAATTCCAATATGTGACTAGCCAAAATTACAATTGTAGTTGAAAATCAAAAGCGGAATAAAATTAGTGTGACAATTATATTTGTCAACAGTGGGGAAGAATAATCAGGCAAGTGTTAATCCTGTTTTTTAATGTTTTACATGTGCAACCATGACTAAAACACTCATTGTAATTGCTGCTGTTTAATAGTATTTTGCTAGTATAGGAGTATCTATTAATTCTAAATATGTTGGCTAATGGGGATGGAGGGAGTACATTTTTATCATACATGGAGGTGCAGCCAAGAAGGTATCAGTGATTGGATGACTGTATTAACTGACGGAAGCTAAATCATTGATAAAAATAACTGCAGACAAAATTAATTAGAAAGGATAGCTGTAGATAATAATGATTTGTTGTAGATTAATGGAACAATAGCAGAAATCCTTTCCATAGTGCCCATGTTCTAGAACAAGAGGCTTCTTTCCAAGCTCAACCGTAGGGAGAAAATCCAGAAATGGGAAAAAAATGTTCTAATTTTTAGATTGGATTTTTAGGAGCAGAGTAGCAGGTTCAAAAGAGATTTATGATTCATTTTAAATGTCAGGCACCTATTACCAAACATTAAAGGTCAAAATATTGAACCATTGTTATTGCAGCTGAGCATTAGTGGGTTGAACCTGAGGAATGAAGGAGATTACTACCAGCCCATGATTTCTCCCTGCTTTAAGATCTGTTAGGTTAGAAATGACATTTGATATAACTTCCTCAAGTTTGTTTGTTTGAGCCCCTGTCCAAACCTGCTAACTGGCTTCTTCAATAATGTGACTATTAATAAGGACATTGAAAGATGATTCAGTTTGTCAACAGAGTCTATGGAGCCACTAAATTCATATGGAAATTCATATGAAAACAGCTAATGTTCATAATTAGCCTGAGAGTTCACTCACAAGTTATATATTTCATAGTTGATCATTTCAGGAACTGATTTCAAAGTCAGAATTCACATAAAAGGCATGCTTCCTGCTAGCCATCAAACCAAGAATTTTTGAGTAGGAAAGAGATACTTCATCTTGTGTATGGAACAAGACACAACCCTGTTACAAAAGCATCCAAACAAGTCGCTGGAAGGAGCAAAAGTTCTGATTTTGGAAATAGGGAGTATATTTCAGATTAGAAAAGACAATGCTTGTATGAGTCATAAAGAATGGACCAATTCTGCATCAGTTTGTTTAAGCCAAATAATAGATGAAAACTAAGCAAGTAAATAATTGTCATAAGGAAAAAGACAATTATATGCATATAAAAATGTTTTTGTTAAATTTATTTATTCCTGTGGGGCCACTCTGGGCGTTTTGTAGGTATTTTGCAGCATACTTTTGTTATTAAATCAATTGCAAATCTTACACAATTTAGGGATAGGGAGATGTTTACTTCGAATTGAGCAAAGATGTTAATTTGCTAGGATTTTCAGTTTTTGTCCAATAGAGAGATAGATGCTGGCATTGGAGGACTATTTCAAGCAAGAGCTACAGATTTTGATTAGAAGTAAAATGGGAACTACTGCTGTCCTATTTGCCGGGGGAACTGGTTTATCATCTATGCGATAATAGCTAGATTTGATTAATCTACAGTTATACCCCTTTCTGAACAGGAAGCATTTGAGACAGTGACATGGGCCATTCAGAAAGGAAGATTTAGATCAGGACAACAATATATTATTTCAATGCTGGATCATTCTTATGGTTGTCTTTTTATATGAGTACTTGTATGCAGTCTAGAATTGTGTGAGCAAGTGTTACATAAATGTTTTCTAATAAATTCAATTAGAAGTGGGAGATAGTAATGTCAAAATGTGGGCATGATCGAAGTCCATTTTGACCATGCATTACATGCACATAAAAGGGGGTGGAGTTAGTTGATTGCCAGTTGCTAACACCAATAGAATTGAAGAGCAAAGGAGACTACATGATGGAGTACAATTGCAAAAGGTACAGAACAACCACTAGATCTCAAGTTAATTACTAGATCTCAAGTTAATTACCTTCTATATTGGCATTCATTGTAATCAGTTGTACAGTGATTTGAAATGTAGATTTATTTATCCAGTACATTTTTTTTTAATTGCCAAATTGTAAAAGTGATACCCCATTTAATAGCTGGGGTTTTATGCTCTATACCACAGTGATGTAAATTGGGGCTAGCCTAAGTAATTACTAAGTATTTAGTAATTACTTAGTGAGCAAATTAGTTCTGGTCCGCTCCCAGCCCAAGGATATATTTCCCATTTTGTTCCTGATTTGATGTAAATCAGTAATGCAGATGGCTTTGCAAAATCTGTAGCTTGATACTGTTCATACATGTAGGAACTACCATCCCCTTTTGGCCAGAAGATAGTACTGCAAAACTTTTTAAGGAAGGACAGACAGACGTTTTCTTAAAAATAAACATTGTGAAATAACTTTAGCTAATTTTGTACAAGCAGCATACACATGGTTAACAAAACCACAATTTACTAAATTAACTGAATTGCCTACATTCACATGATTGATTGATTGATTGATTGATTGATTGATTGATTAATGTATATAAAGCACAATGGTTTGCTTAATATATTAGGCCAATCTTGGGTTCAGGATGATGTTGATCTATGAAGTAGGACTGATTTATTCATTTGGTATTACTGACCAAAGTGTTTTATATCTGGACACTTAATTTATAGACAGACAGGATACATACACTTGTAAAATTACTGAGCTAGTGACAGATTAAATTAAAAATTAAAACAGATGTATATCTATTGTAAGCCCTCTTGAAAATTGGAAAAGAGTAAAGTTTTTATTTGGCATCTAAAAGCGCTGGGCCAAGTTTTTGTTTTGAAATCAATGGCAAACTAAAAATAAATTGTTCTAAAGTAGAAGTAACCATTTCTAAGTCAGAATACATGACTTGACGACAAAGTAAAAGTAGGATTGTTGGGTGTAAAATCAGTAAGTTTTAACTGAAGCCAAACCATTTCTTTCAGGCAGCTTTTAAGTTTTTTCTTCCTAACCAATAACTTCAAAAAATTGGATAGATAAGGTCTGAAATCCCAAAGAGAAGGTATTTCACAACTAAGGAGTCAGCCACGAGAAATTCAGTCTTGGAATGCATACAAAATTCAGAATGCAAAGTAAGGTAAGGAAGTTTGACTCAGTGAAGACATCAGTAAAGCATGATATCAAGAGACAACTTTCTTCATTCTTGAAATCAGAAACTTCAACTTTATAACCAAATACCATTATAGACCAATGTAATACAAAAAGTAAAGAAATCATGATGAGGAAAAAACTTAGAAAAGCAATCAAGTTATAGTTAACAGCGTAACAGTAGGTATTAAAAATCAAAATAATAAAGCCAAAGCTATAAAAATATATAATAGGCAAAATAATCCTGAATAGAGAGAACATAGATAAAATGAAGATAAAATTAGAACCATTGTAAAATTACTCTATATAAAATAATATACTAGACAATGCATAAAATAAAATAGTGCATAAAAGAAGTGAGCCTAAAAATTCTGGCTGAAAACAAAACATACATATTAAAACATTCAAAAAAAAGTTATACAAAGGAGTTTGGGATGGGGGAAGGTTTGAAGGGAAAAACAATGTTAATAACAGAGGAACCAAGATCTTAATCTGACATTCTGCAACCCAACGTTTTGCCATATTATACATTATAGTAGGACTCTTGTAGGGCAATAAGAAACATGAGTTTCACATCACTACTATTGGGCTTTCTAGGTCGTCAAGGCATATATCTATAGTTTCTTTAATCTGGAAACTACCTAGAGTTGCAGAGGAGTTGGGGGCAGCCTTGAAATTAAATAAGTACAGGTAGTACTCAATTTATGTCCAGTCAGTTAGCGACCATTCAAAATTACAGTAGACCTTCCTGGGATACTTAAAACCTGGATTTGAAGTTCCAACAGCCCTCCCCCACCAATACAATGGCTTGATCAGATTCTTGGCATCCAGGGTGCATTAATAGCCATTTGTGGCATCCCACAGTCACATGACCACGTTTTAAGACAGCAAAACATTTTGGCATTTCATTTCAATGGTTGGCACTGATGTTTCAGCAAAACTGGCCCATAGCGAGTTGTTTAACAACCGCCACAAAAAAGATCATAAATAATGAT